ACACATATATACATATATATATATATATATATATATATATATATACAGAGATCAAACTAAGAGGTGGCCATCTTTGCAATAGTCTGTTGACTCTACGAGCTGAGAACTCGTTTTCATTTCTGTTAAAGAAAAAAGACAAAAGAAAACAAGAGGACATGTGAGAGAAGCTGTTTTTGGTTGAGTCTTTTAAAATATATATAAATATAAATGTACGTAAAACAACAGATGGAATAAATACGTCCAGGCAGGAAGAGATGTAATTTAACAAAGTAAAAGCACCAGGTCATGTCTATCCTGTTGTGATGCTGTTCAAAAGGTTCAAGTAAGTTCTTTTATTTTATGATTTTCATTTTAAAGAACGATCACTGTAACATAGATCATCATCTCTTTTATTGAACTGTGGTGGTTTGTAGAGAGAAGCTCCTGCTAGATGTTTCTATGAGAAACAGAAGGTGTGTGTGTGTGTGTGTCTCTCTCTTTTATTATCTATTTTCATAAATCCCTTGTATATATTTCTATCTCTTCCTCTCCACCCAGTGCCAGAATCATTACGGTGTGAATGAATGTAGTTCTAGTCTCAGCGACGCCACACACACACACACACACACACAACCTGTTACCGACAAGTAAAAGTCAGTGTAGAAAAAGGTTATTTCAATTTTATCTTTTTGTATATGGAATAAACAATAAATGCTGTCAAATCATTTTAATACAGACCTCCGCTGTGTTTTCCTTTCGATTGTCTCTATATGGCTCTTGTGAGGAATTTAAGTTTTAAAGTGCTCCTAATTATGGATATAATGTGATACAGTATATTTACTTGTAGGAGTCTGGTCATTTCATGCATTAAGTGTCTGTGAGAGGGGGAGGAATGTGCTGGAGCGGGGGTTGTGTGAAAGTGGCTGGCTGAGGTGTTAACATCAGGACAATGGGGCATCGGCCCAGGTGGGGCTTGTTGGACTTCAGCCAATCAATGAGCAGATCGATGAGCTGAGGAATGTAACTTTGGGGAGACAAAAGGTTTGAAGCTCTGGGGGATTTCAGATCTTCTGATGGCCACCCAGGAGGCAGACCAGCCTCCTGGGTGGCTCGGATTGGATCTCACTTTCATTTTATATATACGTTTGTTTTGTTATTGGTGGTGTGATTCGGTTTGTAACTGTCTGTATCTGTTTTTATGCTTCTTGGATAATAAATCCATTTGATTTTTACTTTAACCTGCTGTCGTGTTTTGGAGGCGATTGAGAGCACGTGGCTGCACATGGGAGGGGGGGCGATTTCTCCCTGTGTCCAGAAGTTATGGCCATAACACTCTCAACATGGCACCCTATGTTTCCGTCTTTCACCACCATGGTCAGTGTTTTTATGAGGGACAAAGCTAGTTAGCTATCTACTGGGAGATTTGTTTTTAGTGATGCTCTTGTTCGCCGTGATCTGGTGATCCATGGCCTGTGTTTTTTTCAGTTAGGACAGCTGTAAAGCAGAGGCATTATTACTGCAGTATTTATTATTATTAGGACCCGAGCACAGACAAAGTCAGAGCGAAGGACCTATTTTATTATTTTATTATTTTATTATAATATGTGGTCGTATATGTAACATGATGGGACGTACAACAGATCCTCTTAGAGTTATGTCATAAACCAGAGGTCACTAAGAGGTGGACCACGGTCCGGACCCAGACCCCATTGTATCTGGACCCTGGACCTAAAACTGATAATTAGAGAATTATTCAATTAAGACGGAGCGAAGTCACAAACAATCTAAGAGCCCAATACGATCAGAATCCTAACACATGAGCTCACAGAGAGGAGTAGAGCTGAAACAAGTGGTTCAATAACCACAGATCAAGTCCCTGCTCTCTGATAAAGATCATATCATCACTTCACACCTGAATGGACTGAATTTAAAGCTGCAGGACGATTTAGTGAAATACATTTTCCTCAGTACTTTATTTTAAGATAAACGTTTTTCAAACGTTTTCTGTGTATAATTTATTAAATTAAACAATAAAAAATAATTAAATTATTTAATTTATTAAATAACATTTATTTATTTATAATTTACTTTCTGTAAATTTATTAATTTTTTATTATTTATAATTCATCCAGTTAAATTTAAAATTCGACAATAAATATTGTTTAGATATTATTCAATTAAACTTTATTTATTTGATTAAACATACAGACGTTAATACAACTGATAATACGTCAATATATATGGAAGTAAATCATAGAACACGTTAAACATTAATGTTCTGGACCTTAATGAGGAAACTAAAGCTCGTTAATCTTTAATCCTCTGATCTAAACCTCCAGCTCTGTGTTTCTCACTCTGTCCTCTAGAGGTCACTGTCGAGCCTCAAACACATTCAACTTCATGAAGAAACAAAGATTCTCTCACTTTATTCATTTAGTTATTCATGTCATTACTCCTCAAATAAACTGAGAGAACATGTGGTGAAAATAAAGATATTTGTTTTCATCAGACGCTTCAGTTCTATTATAAGAGAAACAAAAGAAAAGATCAAACAAGTGGAACCTTCAATGAACAAGAGAAGCACACACACACTCACACACACACACACACACACTCTCTCTCTCTCACACACACACATGGTGCACCCCCCCCTGAGACAATAGATTGATCTGAATGGAGAATTAAAGGAGCAGACAGCTGTTTCGACAGGATTTAACCCTTTACATCCCTCTCAGTAAAGGTTGATCTCTGATCACTGATCACTGATTATTGATTATTGATGAATTGCAGATATTTAGAGATGAAACTTTAACTCTCCCGGCTGAATCATTTCTAATGACATCAGAACAAAAAGTTTAAATATTTACGTTTTAATATTTAGGATTTAAATGAAACATGTGAAGAAGTAAACTTTAATCACAAAGTCAGGTAAACAACAGCAACAGCATTCCAGAGACAGGTTTCACAATCCATCCTTTAGAGAGGAAGAAGAACCCCCCCCCCCCCCAACCAAATTAAATGGTTCAGTCCACCCCCACCCCCCACCCCCTCTTATTGAGCTGAATGAATGAGAAAGTCTCTGCAGCAACACATTCCTCTTCACTACATTGATTCTGCAGCTAACAAGAGAAGACCAGTTAGAAAGAGTCTGAGACCAGTTAGAAAGAGTCTGAGACCAGTTAGAATCAGTCTGAGACCAGTTAGAAAGAGTCTGAGACCAGTTAGAATCAGTCTGAGACCAGTTAGAATCAGTCTGAGACCAGTTAGAATCAGTCTGAGACCAGTTAGAATCAGTCTGAGACCAGTTAGAATCAGAGATGAAGTTGTTGCTTTTGTTGCTGCTGATGGAGACTGAAGCTCAACAGAGAGGTGAGACAGTTTATATTTACTCTACTGTAACTTCTACTGAGTTCTATGAGTTAGTTTTGTGATCTGTTAGCTCCATAAGCTGGTTAGCTCTGTTAGCTCTGTTAGCTCTGTTAGCTGTTAGCTCCAAGTGGGTCAGAGTTGAGGTTATTTAAAATTTGAGTGGCTGATATTTTAAAATAAATGTGAAGCAGATTTCATCCAGTTTGTGTCATTTTGGATTAATTTACATTTTTAATTTGACAGAATGAATGACATAAAATAATGAAATGTGTTGTTGTGTAACAACAATGTCAGCAGTCTGTCTGTGTGTAGTGAGTGAGACACACAGAGACAGACAGGTTGTAGTGAATCCTTGAGTCTGTCTGTGTGTAGTGAGTGAGACACATGGAGAGACAGACAGGTTGTGGTGAGACACGATGACCCTGACTTTATGTGTTGAGTCTATTGTTCTTCTGATGATTTCAGTTGAAATGTTTCAGCCTTCGTTACTTTAAGCTTTTGCTGCTGGTTTCTACTGCAGTAAAGTGTTTGTACTGCAGTAAAGTCTGTTTCTACTACAGTAGAGTCTGTATTTACTACAGTAGAGTGTGTATATACTACAGTAAAGTGTGTATTTACTACAGTAGAGTGTGTATTTACTGCAGTAGAGTCTGTTTCTACTACAGTAGAGTGTGTATTTACTGCAGTAGTGTGTATTTACCACAGTAGAGTGTGTATTTACTGCAGTAGAGTGTGTATTTACCACAGTAGAGTGTGTATTTACCACAGTAGTGTGTATTTACTGCAGTAGAGTGTGTATTTACCACAGTAGAGTGTGTATTTACCGCAGTAGTGTGTATTTACTGCAGTAGAGTGTGTATTTACCACAGTAGAGTGTGTATTTACCACAGTAGAGTCTGTTTCTAATGCAGTAGAGTGTGTATTTACCGCAGTAGAGTGTGTATTTACTATAGTAGAGTGTGTATTTACTGCAGTAGAGTGTGTATTTACTGCAGTACAGTGTGTATTTACCGCAGTAGAGTCTGTTTCTAATGCAGTATAGTGTGTATTTACCACAGTAGAGTCTGTTTGTAATGCAGTATAGTGTGTATTTACCACAGTAGAGTCTGTTTGTAATGCAGTATAGTGTGTATTTACCACAGTAGAGTCTGTTTGTAATGCAGTATAGTGTGTATTTACCACAGTAGAGTCTGTTTCTAATGCAGTAGAGTGTGTATTTACTGCAGTAGAGTGTGTATTTACCACAGTAGAGGGTGTTTCTGTGTCTTTAACCTGTATAACGTCTTAGTTGGAGGTTTGTGTTCATCAGTTGATCAGTTGATCAACATATTGATGAAGATCTTCAGACAGACTGTGTGTCCTACTGGGAAACAACCTGTGTGTGTGTGTGTGTGTGTGTGTGTGTGTGTGTGTGTGTAATTACTGTTAACAATCACACTCTGCCCTCTTCCTCTCTACCCCCTAAATTACCCCCCAGTTACAAAAACCCTAAAACCCCCCACAAGGCCTGATCTCTTTGTGTGTGTGTGTTGGTGGGGGATGGGTCAGAGGTCAATCTGAACATCAACACACTGACTCAACACATTCCATTACACACACACCTCCATGTTAATTTCTGTTGTGTGTGATCAGCTGTGGAGGTGTGATAACATCAATGGGGTGGTCTCTCTCACACACACACACACACACACACACACACACACACACACACATAGTTTGTTGTGGGAACACACAGACCTTCAGACCTCGTCTGCATGAAGACGTCTGTGTGAGGCGTCAACATTGTCCAGGTGTTTGTGAACAAATGACTCTTCAGTGGAGGCGTTGGACTCCCTCTGCTGGACAGAGACGGTACCTGTCCTCAGTTTGTTAAATCAGAGACACCATGGATGTCAAATGGCAAATAGATAAATCATTTAGAAAGTCCTGAAGATTGAAGATGTTTATTCAGTGTGACTTTGTAGCACAAAGGTACTGCCTGTGCAAAAGCACACTGACTATAAACCTGCAGGCTTATTTCTTCCGTGCAAAAAGTTTGGCGCACTTCTCCTCACACAGCGTTGCCAACACCTGCGCAAAAAATACATAAAAACGTGCGGCCTGATCGGGAATCATGTGCTATGACTTTTCTCAGAGATTCGCCCAGCGGTTTTCCCGAAGATCCCGAAAAACTGAGCAAAATTTCTCCATTCACTTGAATTGGGTTTCGGGGCCCATATTGACGAGCCATACTTTAACGTAGAAAAATGATTCAAAGTTTAAAACATAGACAAAACGCTGCACTTTATTGAGCCAAATGGACATTTTGATAGCTAGCACAGTTTTCATGAAGTCACAGATTAAGTTTCAGGAATATTTTGGGTCCGTTTTTTAGATTTTATAATGGGTGTGTATTGCACGGAACGTTCAGTCCTAGAGTGATGACATCACCGTCAGAGTGGAGCAGAGCAGATAGCAGTCTGTTCAGGATGCTAACAGTTAGCTGTGTGTTCCAGGTCTGTTCAGGGTGCTAACAGTTAGCTGTGTGTTCCAGGTCTGTTCAGGGTGCTAACGGTTAGCTGTGTATTCCAGGTCTGTTCCCAGCCATCTTGAACTTGGCCAGTAACGCAGTGATCAGCAGTAACGCCACGTGTGGAGATCCCGGGCCTGAAGTTTACTGTAAACTGGTGGAACACGTTCCAGGACGACAGATCAAGAACCCACACTGCCTGAGATGTGACTCCAACTCCGTCCTGACCAAAGGTACAGAACCAGAACGACAGAAGGACCAGTCTGGTGTTTTTATTTGATCAAATCTCGGATTCAAATGAAAATCATTACAGACACAACAACACAGATATTAGTGCGTCTCTAAATGATGTCCGGCTCCCTGCTACAACCCAAATGGTTGAAGACGAAAAGCTTAAAAAACATGAATATATTGGTAAATTTGTCTCAGTAATCTCCTCAAACAACTTATAATTTTGGTTTTATCAAACAAACAGTAGGAAATAGTCACATTGTTGGGGACTATTTCCAATGGAGGATGAATACACATTTCACGGGCAAAAAGGAGGATGGAGCTAGGTAGCTAATTAGCTGCGTAGCCGGGTAGCTAGGTAGCTAGTTAGCTGAGTAGTTAGTTAGCTAGGTAGCTGGATAGATGGGTCGCTAGGTAACTGGGTAGCTAATTAGCTTGGTAGCTAGTTAGCTAGGTAGCTTCATATGGCTGCAGCAGGATGCTGTATCCGGTTGAACCTGTAACTGTTACAGGTTCTATCCAGAGAGGTAGTGGAGGTGAGTGGAAATACTGACGATTTTTGTGTTGTTCAGAACGTCATCCGATCACAAACGCCATCGATGGGACGAATCACTGGTGGCAGAGTCCGAGTATCAAGAACGGACGTCAGTTTCACTGGATCACAATAACGCTGGACCTCAAACAGGTAATAACACACCTAAATACACACACACACACACACACACACACACACACACAAAACAGACAGCTACCTCTCACTGAGTTACGGATATATGTAACTGCTGCTCTGTTATTGTAACCCCTGATCTCTGATTGTAACCCCTGCTCTCTGATTGTAACCCCTGCTCTCTGATTGTAACCCCTGCTCTCTGATTGTAACCCCTGCTCTCTGATTGTAACCCCTGCTCTCTGATTGTATTGCATTTATTTTCAGATCTTTCAGGTCGCTTACATCATCATCAAGGCAGCTAACTCTCCTCGACCAGGTGAGACAGTCTGTCTGTCTGTCTGTCTGTCTGACTGTCTCTGTCTGTCTGTCTCTCTCTCTGTCTGACCTGTCTGTCTGTCTGACCTGTCTTGCTCCTTCAGGTAACTGGATCCTGGAGCGCTCTCTGGACGGTGTGACCTTTGACCCCTGGCAGTTCTACGCCATCAGTGACTCTGAGTGTTTGTCTCGTTACAACATGACGCCGAGACTCGGTCCTCCGACCTACAAGAGCGACACAGAGGTTATCTGCACGTCTTACTACTCCAGACTGAACCCTCTGGAGCATGGAGAGGTGAGACAGGCTGTCTGTCTGGACGTCCTTCACTGACCCGTCTCTCTCTCTGACCTGTCTCTGTCTGTAACTGTCTCTCTCTCTGACCTGTCTCTCTCTCTGACCCGTCTCTCTCTGAACCCGTCTCTGTCTGTACCTGTCTCTCTTTGTACCCGTCTCTGTCTGTACCTGTCTCCCTCTGTACCTGTCTCTCTTTGTTCTTTGTACCCGTCTCTCTCTGTACCCGTCTCCCTCTGTACCTGTCTCCCTCTGTACCTGTCTCTCTTTGTACCCGTCTCTCTTTGTACCTGTCTCCCTCTGTACCTGTCTCTCTTTGTACCCGTCTCTCTCTGTACCCGTCTCTCTCTGTACCTGTCTCTGTCTGTACCTGTCTCTCTCTCTCTGTACCTGTCTCCCTCTGTACCTGTCTCTCTCTCTGTACCTGTCTCTCTGTCCCAGATTCACACCTCACTGATTAACAGCCGACCCGGAGCCGATGATTTGACCTCTGAACTCTTGAACTTCACGTCGGCTCGTTTCATCCGACTGAAGCTTCAGCGAATCAGAACGCTCAACGCCGACCTGATGACGCTGAGTGCCCGCGACCCCCGAGAGATCGACCCCATCGTCACCAGGAGGGTGAGACAGGCTGCTAGAGAGAGACAGCTGTGGATGAGCTGTGTGGTCACATTTAATAAAACAGGTCGTTGCTTAATGCTTCACCGTGTTCATGTTTTGTCTCTCAGTATTATTACTCCATCAAAGACATCTCTGTGGGGGGGATGTGTATCTGTTATGGCCACGCCCAGAGCTGCCCGCTGGACCAAGTTACCAAGGTAACCTGTCTTCACCTGCTCACCTCTACACCCGTTTACCTGTACATCTCCTCCACTGTTTACCTGAACACCTGAACGCCTCTTCACCTATTTAATTTAATTCTTTAAATTTTAAATTTCATATACTTTATTCATCCCGCAAGGGGAAATCGTTCTCTCATTTGACCCACCCTGTATAAAGGGAGAAGCAGGGGGAGCGGTTAGGGGAGTGGTTAGGGGTTTAGTGTCTTGCTCAGGGACACTTCGGCGCAGCACACGTAGTAACCGAGGATCGAACTGCCAACCTTTGCGGTTACCGGACAACCCTCTCTTCCCCATGAGCCACGGTCACCCCATTTACCTGCTTAGTGTTGTAAACCAGAGGTCTTCAACAGGGGGTCCGTGACCCCTAGGGGGTTATAGAAACATGAATATATGAACCTGTGTATTATTTGAATAGCTTAGTATTGAATGCACAGTAAAGAGGTATGTTTATACATGGCATGAGGCCCATTTAATATAAAACACAATGTTATACATTATATATAGTCGGGGGTCCCTGCTCCATCTCTATCAGTTTGGGGTCCTTGGCCTGAAAGACGTTGAAGACCCCTGATATAACCACTACCTTCAACCTGTGTGTGTGTTTGTGTGTGTGTGTGTGTGTGTGTGTGTGTGTGTGTGTGTGTGTGAACAGAAGCTGCAGTGTGTGTGTGAACACAACACCTGTGGAGAGAGCTGTGACCACTGTTGCCCCGGTTACCACCAGCAGCCATGGCAACCTGGGACCGTCTCCGAGGGAAACACCTGTGAAGGTAAGAAGCACGGAGTGGACAGAAAAATAGAAACACCTTTAAACACACTGATTGTGGGTCAACCTCTTTCAAAACACCTGTCTGTCTGTCTGTCTCTACTCGTCTGTCTCTGTCTGTCTGTCGCTACCTGTCTCTCTCTCTCTACCTGTCTGTCTCCCAGAGTGTAACTGTCACAACAAAGCTGTGGACTGTTTCTACAATCAGACCGTCTCTGGACTCTTTTTGAGTTTAAACACTCGCGGCATTCGTGAAGGGGGCGGAGTCTGTATCACCTGTCAACAAAACACCGCCGGCATCAACTGTGAGACCTGCAGCGCCGGATACTACAGACCTGCTGAGGTACTGACAAATACTGCATAT